TCCATGGCGACTCCCTACGAAGAACCATGAAAGGAGATGGTCTGTGTATGACGAACAACTTTCTCTGTATTTTTTGTGACATTAAAAATACATTGTAACAAAATGTCAACGGTGAGTAAGCCACCATTGGGAGAATGGCCGACTCAACACTCAGGAGGGGGGCGCAGGTCCCTCACAAAATAATAAAAATCGACATCTGTGGCGTCGCATACCTCTCACGCTGGCTAGACCAGGGAAAGCGATCAACTGAAAGGTATAAACTCCATCGGCTGTATCATCTTAGCTATATCCACTTTATCACCAGCTGAAGTTCTATGGTGACGCCTGCATTTCTCTCTGACTTGACAATGGATTACGATTAACTCAAAGGTGAAGACAGGCCGCATTCCGGCTAAATGCAGCACAAGTGTGTCGAAACGCTGCGGCCACCGCAAGCGGACACGTCACAGGTAAAGGTCACATTGCCTCACAGTTGGCGTGAGTCGATCGCTTCGGACGACAGCATCAAGCTTTCTCGAGGCATCCCTGCACTGTCGCGGCATCAGCTGCAGACGTGGATGACGGTGATGCTGGTTTGGACCCTGCAGTCGGCTTTAGGGGTACCGCTCCCCCCTCCCCTCCCCCCTCATAACGGGCCGGCTGGATAAAATGACCACCGGAGCGAAACCCTTTTTCGACATGCAATTGTCAGGGTTCAGTGGTGTACTCAGAAAGGTAAATGGGGAAGGACACATTTGCGAATGCGTGTTGTTTGAATGGTATGCTACAAAAGTGGATTGAAGTGGTTATCGGGATTGTTACACGATGCACGAAATCTTTTCTTGTGTCAGCAGTAGGTGCAGGAGTATGTAACTATGTGGTAAATCTCACCTTGGATAAAAAGCAAATGTTCCTCGTTAAATTTGCATACACATGGTTGAAGACAAATCACCGTGAGGAACGATGCTGTACGTGCCATGAAAAGTGGAGTGTTTTAAGACATTCATATTTCATGCAAGCATTTTCTTGGCAACACAAGTGATGAATCAATGTAAAGGGCATTCGTCGTTTCCTTTTTGTAACTGACCATTTGGCTCTCTCCACGACCCTTTTAGCTTGGACGGCCAGCACGTATTCCAAATATCCCCCACCCGCACGCTGCTCCATGGCCACTGGGGCCTGATCCTTCGCTGCTTAAACGACCGCGTGGTACGACGCTGAGTTTGTTTCCTTACAGCCATTCAATGCACTTTTAGGTCCATCTTATACACTTTCAAGATTGTTGTCAGGCTCTATGAGTACATTTGCGACTTGAAATATCCCACAGAAAGAAACCTGGCGGGCTCAAAGCTATGACATGCGTGAGACAGTATTTGGCTGCTTAGGTAAAACCAGTCTTGCCGCTCTCTGAGTCACTTCCTCGTCTTTTTTGAGCCGCTCCCTGTGTGCAGTCATATTATCTAGCTGAGGTAGTGACGTCACAAAACTCTACCGCAAATTGCCTTTCAAGTCGCCCAAAAGTCATGGAGGGCCGCTGAGTCCCGTTTAGTCGTTACGGCCGCTGAGCCTTTCGGCTGTCCTGAAGCCAGCAGTGGTCAATGACGCCTCGACTGTCGAAAGTAACTGGCGGTGCATTTTTCATTGTGCAGTGGTGCTTCACAGACCGCATCGGGGGCCTCGGCAGATAAAACCGATGGTGTTGGCTGTTGACGACGCCGTCTAAATGAAGGTGCGTGTCGTCGTTAAACCAAAGCTGGCCACTGAACGAATGGACAGGTTTGCTTGGCCGAAGGAACGACGCACTGTGGTGCATGCACGCGTTATTATCGGTTAATGACGGCTTTTGATGAGAGTTCATCTTGTTCCGGAAAACACTGAGCTCTTGTCTTACCAGCCTCAACGCAGCGCACATGCTACGGCGAATTCCTGCCCGGGTCAGCGCCCATGTCTTTAAGATCTCAGCAGCAATGCCTTTTTTTATTTTGCAACCTTGGCCAGGGTTGTTTTGGCTCATTTCATCGGGCTGACTTTACCAGTCAGGCTTTCAAGCCCGCCCTCTGCGATGAACTCTGCGCATGAACATCAGCCGCATTTTTGTGGTGCTTTTTGTGACTGCGCCTTAACTCCTGTATGCGTTTTGGTGCATCTTTTTTATTTGTGAATTGACGGCTGATGTTGTTAAGAAATATTATTTCTCCATCTTTATTCTTCGTCAGCTGTGCAAGGCAGTATGGCCTTCACGAGATTGACATAGCTATGTCACAAATATTTTCAATGACACTGTTAAAAGAACTTTACGTAACCTGCCATACATCTTTAATCCAACAAGGGGGTGCGTGCTTACCTTTGGACCTCTCTTCTGCACAACAAAATCCGTGGGAGACGTCCTCCCAAGACTGCGCAGCATCGACAGCAATACAGAATTGCCGCATTATATTACACTCTCTTCAAAAGACAGTACTAATGATCTCAATACGCTCGTAGAGTATATTTTGCCCTCTGGTGCATGACACTGCCTCTTCAAAGCCAGGCTATAGTTTTCCAAGCTCATTATGTGGGTGATGATTATTCATTGGTCGATGAAGCGGTTAGGTCCGACCCTCATATAGCGCAAATCAAGTGACGTCAGCCGGAAACCGATCTGCATCCCCTTGTTATGCCAGCAAATGTGGTTTGTTGTTATGCTGAGAGAGGGGTGATAGTTGCGATGGACGAGTGATTAATCATCAGTCTGATATCCAGGTGATGATGCCTCCCCCCCCCAAAAAGCGCACATTTCCTGGCACACCATGGGCAGACACTGCAAGGCTTTTATGGGTCAGGTTAAGGTGAATGCTAGGCTAGGCAGGGCTGGGTTAGAGTTGTTGTCCAACTGCTCAGCTCAGCAACTGTTCACAACATGCACAATGCGTGGCCCTTCAACAGAAGATGTCCCTGCAATCATTGCGCCGGTAATGCCGTCGTTATTGCACAATCTCACGCGCTGTAGGCCCGCGGAGAGTGGGCGCAGGCCAGCTGGCCGCGGGCGGAAAGCCCTGCTGCCGACCCGCGGCCGGCGAAGGTTGAGCGTCTCCCCTGTGTCTGGCGCTGCCAGGCAGTCCGCTGCGGTCAGCCGACGGTCGCGGGGTATACGTTCAGCCGGTCAAACCAGCCCGGCCGTTCCCTCACCGGCTCGGCAGGCCTCAGCTCTGGCTTCTTTGAGGCAACTAAGTATTGGCGGGTATCTTTCCAGCTGGTGGATTTAGAGTTTCTGCAGGATGCAGGGAAGTGCTGGGAGCACGCGTGGTAATGGACTGTCTTCGTTGCGTTGCGGCAGTTGCGAAACGCTTGATTCGTCTCGTCGCGCGGGCTCCTATCCTCGTCTGCTCGTGCTATGAGCGTGCATGCACGGAAAAAAGCATCTCGTGAACGTGAAAGGTGACGATCCCCCCTATGTTATGTTATGCAGTGAGTGTGAGGGATGATGGAGCGTAACTGAAGCGTGACAAGTGGAATTGGGGACAGCGCAACGTTACCCTCAAGTGTGGTTTCAAATCATGGCACAGTCTTCAAGAGAATGTTTTAAAACCTCAAAAGCAGATAACGTTTGTTTCTTTGCGTCATGAATGGCGGCACGCCCTTCTTTGTTCCGCACCTCTAACATTCATTGACGTCCATTAACAATCCTATTAACAGGGGTCATTAACTTCCGGGAGCGTCACGCTTAACACAGAGCGAGAAGGTGCTCAGCAGAGGGAAGAGTGGGAAAAATTGAACAGTCTCATACTGCTCCGACTTTTTTGTTACAGTTTTTTCAAATGGCGGCCATTCATATGGACCTTCATAAGCAAACTCATACGCAGCCTGTAAAAGGCCATATTGCGCTAGAGCACACCAGCGAATTCACACAAAAAAACTTACCTCATAATACAAAGATCGGACCCACGATTAGCTGCTCCACAACCGCACACTGACCACGTTAATGGCGTTGGTAGAGATGCAAACCAGTTATCCAGGAAAAGCCGGTCTGCTCAGCTGAGGGATGATCAGCCCTGGGACGAAGCCGATCCACTGCAGCCGCAGACGGCAGCGGCAGATGGCGTTGCAGTCGCTCGATGTTGTATCTCTTCAGGGCTCTCGAGGCATCTGTGCGAGGCTATCGTACAGCAATTGGAGACAAGGCGTGCGCGATACGTGATGTTATAAATGCGCGCTCACGAATGAAACTCAAGAACATGCATTCAGGCTTGCTCGTGATATATTGCGTGGAGGAAGGAAACGGAGGCCCGTTGTCAGATGAGCGCAGACCGGATCATCTCAGAACTACTCCTGGTCCTACTAGCCATGCTTGAACCCGCTCTATGCCAGGTTCTAGGCTACCCGTCCGGTTCAGTTCTTGGTTCCCGTTTGGTAACCGCGACTATTCATGTGTTGGTGTCGATAACGGTGTTATTTGACATGGCGGGCCTTTAAAGATAAGTTTTTGCGGCATTCCTGAGAAGGCTCTCGCAAGCTTTTAGTGATGCACTCAAACCAATATAGGTAAACGACAGGCCTAACCTTTGGCAAACAACAGAAGCATATCACAAAGTGCTTGCAAAACCACTGACGAGGCACCCAGCCCGACCCCTGCCAAGATTTCACACTGCAATGTTGTCATAGACCTAAATAGATCAGAGTGACCCCAGGTCGGCCAGAAACTGCTCCGAAGCTGGCCTCCAACTCACTGCACGCTCCTCGCGAGGTGTTGGTTCGCTGCCGAGCAGTCCGGACCTTGGCAACTCGCGGGCGGCCGTACCACCCAGTCGCCGCAAAAGTGAAAGGCGCCGCACGCGGTCACACTTCATCTCGTCCCAAACTGGCAGCCCCCCGGGCCTGCCAGGGGTCACAGCGTCGTGACCCGCGTGCCCCAGGGTGCTGGCGGAGCGGCGGTGTGCCGGCGCCGCCAGCGCGCCGCCGGCCGCCGCCGCCGCCGGCGGAGGGGGCGGGGGCCGCCGCCGGCGCCGCCGTGTGCCGTCGCTATTTAAGGCCACCGCCGGCCGGCTCAGCCTAGTCTTTCGGCAACATGCGGCCGGCTGCGGTGCTCCTGGCGCTCCTGGTCTGTGCGGGTAAGTCCGACGGGCCGGCCGGCCTCCGTGACCTAGATCGGCCGACGGGGCCTCGAGGGACGCCGCAAGGGATGGCTCACATGCTCCAGAGACCAGGTGGCTCACCAGCGCCGAGGCTGCGTGACAGGTGCCCGCCGAGGCTGCGTAATAGGTGCTCGCCGAGAGAATGTGTGGACGCCGCTTAATCTAGCGAAGAGCTGAGTGTGGCTGCTAGAGTCTAGCGAGGCGCATGACGGGGTGTTTGACGCTGGAAATGGTTCTCACGGCATGCGGGACAAATCAAAATGGGTTGCAGCCGATGTGAAAGGTCAAGACGAACCTCTTGAAATTTCAACATGCTGGCAAGAAAGGTGTTTCAGGATTGTTTGATAGAGCGGTTTATGCTGTTAACATTTGCCAATCACCTTTTGTGTTTATTCTTAAGTAATGCATATAAGTAGCAGGATCAACAAATCAGATGCCATTATATATCTCACTCACATAAACTCACCAAACAGGACATGTTTTAGTGCCGGGTATCACACATAGAGCGTGCCTTTTTGTTGCTGTGACAACCGCCACTGCAATGTTATGTATAAGCAAACGTTACGAGATAAAGATGTTCTCAAGTGATAGGTTGCTCTTACTATTCATTACTGTTGAAAATATTTTTTTTGAAAATATGACATGACGCCGATGGCACGTCACAAGGGACGTGCAGGTTCCATAGTAACGTAACTTGAGCTGTACTTTCGATGGGGGGTGACACATGTGACAGCTTTTCCATGGTATTAATGTCGCTCGACGAGCAATCCTAGCAAAAAAGAAACGCAACTTAACGGCGTTTTAACGTGCTTGAAACAGCTTTGTCAGCATGACTTTATTGGCTTATTTATATGCAACTATATGCACTCCTCTAGCACTACCTAGACGACAAACCCGAGCCCCATCAATACTATAAAGCCTTATTGATATCCTAAGCAGAATCACGTTTAGTTGGCGGTTTCAATAATAGTTCCTCGACTGACGAAAACAAAAGACATGCGAGTGCTGACAAATGCGCGTTATTTAACCGCATGTACACTAGTCGACGTACGGAGCTCGGCTCTGTACACATTTGCACCACGAATGAAATAAGTGCTCGGACTATTGTCTTCTTCTGGTGTGCTAGTATTTACACAATGTTTCGGCCGGTTAAGTCTACGGCCGCCGTCAGGTGTTATTGAGCCCCGTCAACGACTGGGTACCGTTTGGCTGTCAGCCATGTACGATCACAGCCATAACTGTCTACTAGACATTGCTGTTATGCGAACCAGAGCCATCTAATTGCGGGTCTATTGCTCTAACAACTGATATCAGTTGGTTTAACACTGCACCCTGCACTCGTGGTTCGAATCCCAGCCATTCCAAGGAGACAGTTCGGTGTACAAAGCTTACATGGCTGAAAGCTTAATACCACCCAGTTCATTTCACGATTCAATGGCACCTCAGGACGGGTGGGGTGTTAACTGGCCAAAACGCTGTGTAAGTGCCAGCAGACCAGACAGGACGATAGTCCGAACAACTAGTCCTCCCGTGATACTCCTGCCTCGCATCCATCCTCCCGTCAAATTGTAGCTGGTTGTATTGTGCTCATCTCAAATTTATGCTGCTTACGGTGGGGAGACTTACGTTTCCGAGCACTTACGATCTGGGTCGCTAAGAGGACTCAGCTCTCATTGCAGACCCAGTGATTTCATAGCCACGGGTGAGGAAGCGCGCTCCAATTTTTGTTATATCGGTTTCCATCTCCTGATAATTCGCTTAGTATCTACCCTCTCCGCCTCCGGAGAGCCGGAACATTTCAGTTTCTGCTCTATGTAATGCTCGTCTGATGGCAGCTGGCCCCTTTTCAAACGCTGCCCTCCCCATTTCCGGACAGGTCACCATGCCTCAGCGCTCACGTGTCGACCGTTCGGCCCGTTTCAGCCTCGGCGAATCGCGTGAAGCGACAGGATGCGGAGGGCACCGAAGAAGAGGCCATCAAGGCCATCTGTACTGACAAGACGGCCGGAGAATGGTTCCGTCTGAACGCCGGCGCTGCCTCCTGCAACAAGGTCGTGCAGTGCACCGCGGCGGTGAGTGACCCTGTACAACTGACCGTCACCTGCCCGCCGTTCGCCGTCGTCGTCCGGCCAGTGCGGGTCGTCCCGCCGTCCGACTGTCGCGACCTTGGCCGGCGGGGTCGCGCGACGGGTCTGGCCGGCCAGGCTGGCGGCCGACGCCGTCACGATCGGTGCGGCCGGGCGTGCTGACGGCGGTCAGCGGCGCCGTGCGGTGCACCTCGGCACCCCGCTCGGCAGGGACGGGTCGCCGGTGCGCCGCCGCCGCACCCAGACCTGATGCAAGCCCGGCCGTCCGTCGGCTGCACGGCGCCGCGGACGTGGGCGCGGTGTTGCTTAACTGGTCGCCGCGATCGGCGCCCGCTCAAGGGCAGAGCCCGCATTGGAAAGTAGCCGAGTCACATACAGTAGCCTTGGATACACTCCCGAAAAAACGATCAGTGCAGCCTTCTCTGAGCGCACAACAGCGGAGGTGCCGCGGTATCCGAGACGGCCGATAATCTGCCGCTCCTGGGAGGGCGTCCGGCGGACGGGGGGCTTACGGCGTGTTGGGTGGGTGCTGGAAATTCCACCTAAGCCGACACGAGGTATTTTTCGTGGGGCCCTAGAAAAGATTCCCTTTCATGCCCACCACGCGCCCTGTTCCAAATCGCCTCGGCCCGGTCTGCTGACCAGAAACGTTGCATTGGTTCGAATGGATTAATCACGGCAGGATGACACCCGAGTGTTGGACGGCTCGCTTTTCGATATGTCCAGTCAGAACATTGTGTTGCCTGCATAAATTATGACTCACAATCATGTCCCGAGAAGTTCTAGCTGCTAACTAGCACATCTACGGGTAGGGCTTTCGCACCAAGGTTCAGGCCAGAACTGTACCAGTTCCTTCAGCTTAGCCGGTGGGGATCAGCTGACGGAAGCGTCGCTCGGAAGGTCGCTGACCCCTGCGCCCGCCTCTCAGTCGCCGCCCCCGGCTGCCGAGCAGCTGACGCCCACGGGCTGACTCCGCTTCCTCGCCGCCTCAGGGTCTGCAGCAGCTCAAATGCCCGACCGGACTGGCGTTTGACCTCAAGGGTCAGACGTGCGACTGGAAAGCCAGCGTCCAAGACTGTGAGCTCAAGCAGCGACCGAAACTGGCGCGGCCACAGTTCAACACAGAAGACCCGCTCTGTCTCGACGCCAACGAATTGGCCTGCTGGCGACAACACGTGCCTGGCCCGCGAGCTGTTCTGCGACGGCAACGTCGACTGCACCGACGGGTCGGATGAGAACATCTGCGGTAGGTGATGCCCCTGCAGTCCGCGCCGCCATGTGCCACTGTTCACGTGCCCGGCTCTAACAACGGCTCGGTTCGCGCCATATGAGCAGCTTCAGTTTGCATCCTCGTTCAGGATTTTCAGACTGCTAGGAAAATCTATCAGATATTGAATGGATCAAGTCAGGAGTGAACTTTAAAGTTTATCTAATGCAAGCACGGGGATTCGCAAAAAATCTCACCGCGTAGAGTCTTCTTCGTAATAAAAGTAGGCTTTCTAAATCGTGACCAACTACATGTGGAGCACTGGCCGTCATGCAATGGCTCAGCCTAATCCTTTGTCCCGGCTGCGCTTGCAGACCGAGAGAACGACCCGAACCGGGCGCCGCCATGCGACCCGACCACTTGCCAGCTGCCGTCGTGCTTCTGTTCGGAGCTGGGCACCACCGTGCCAGGCGGACTGGCGCCGGCCGACGTGCCGCAGATGATCATGATCACCTTCAACGGCGCCATCAACAACAACAACATCGACCTGTTCGACGACCTCTTCCTGCGCGCTGGCGTCAACCCCAATGGCTGTCCGATAAAGGGCACGTTCTTCGTGTCGCACAAGTACACCAACTACACGGCCGTGCAGGACTTGCACAACCGCGGTCACGAGATCGCCGTCTTCTCCATCACGCAGAATGACGAGGTCAACTTCTGGTCGAACGCCTCCCGGACCGACTGGAGCAAAGAGATGGCCGGCCAGCGCTTCATCATCGAAAAGTTCTCCGCCATCGATGACAACTCGGTGGTCGGCATGCGCACGCCTTACTTGCGCGTCGGTGGCAACAACCAGTTCTTCATGATGAAGGACCAGAGCTTTTTGTACGACTCGACCATCACGGCACCGCTGAGCGACATTCCCATCTGGCCGTACACGCTACTGAACCAGATGCCGCACGCCTGCCACGGCAACGCTCAGAAGTGTCCGACACGCGCCTTCCCCGTCTGGGAGATGGTGATGAATGAGCTGGACCGCCGCGAGGACCCGAGTGTGGACGATAATCTTCCCGGCTGCGCTCAGGTGGACTCCTGTTCCAACATCCTCAACGGCGAGCAGTTCTACAACTTCCTCAACCACAACTTCGACCGCCACTACCTGACCAACCGTGCGCCGCTCAGTCTCAACTTCCATTCCGCCTGGTTAAAGAAGGAAGAATACCTCGATTACCTGCTCTACTTTATCCAGGAGATCCAGGAAACCTTCCCTGACGCCTACTTCGTGACCATGACGCAGGTGATCGAGTGGATGCAGAGCCCACTCACAATTGCCGAAACCGCGAATTTCGATTTGTGGAAGACCAAGTGCGAAGAGCCCCTCGGCTTCCCCTGTTCCAAGCCGGGAGGCAACAACTGTGCCTTGCGCGCCAGCGGAGTTCAGGGCACCTTCAACATGCAGACCTGCCTGCGGTGCCCCAACGACTTCCCCTGGCTGAACGACCCGACTGGAGATGGCACCCTGTAGATCGTTGGCGACGCACCACCGGCTCCCGGAGGCGCTAACGTAGCTCGCGTCGTATGTTGACATGCCGTCAGTGAGTCATCCAAATCGCGGTGTTGAGGCAAGTACGACCTCACTGTGAACTATTGCCCATCATGTAATCTTAAGCGTGACATTCGGTGTTCTTTCCATCGACTGCGATTCGTTCGGGAACTGGCAACACTCAGATTATCAACATGATAGGAAGGCATCAGATCCTTCCGTTCATCGCTCCCGCTTTTTTAGTGGTGCGAACACTTCGTCCGGCATAACATGACTTAGCTATCTCCACTTCTATCAAGTTTCAGTCGAGCACCCCCTTCACTCCATCGATGCACTGCGATCGGTCAGATCGCCACAAGCCACAAAACCAACTCTCTCCCTCGCTGTCTGCCTCTTCAACGCATTCAAAGTCGCTTCCGTGGCAGGGCCCGCTCTGGCCCGCGCGTCACCCTGAGCGTCGCGGACGGTCTGGCCGCCGATGACCGGGTGTCGGACGGCGCGGCGAGCCGGACTGGCACGGGACGAGGCCGAGGCCCGGTCCCGGTCCCGCGTCGGGTCGCGACCCCGCGTCCGGCGGGGCCGCCACACCTTGTTGATATGTTGTTGCCAAGTACAAAGGCACAGCGGAGGCTGCGTTCTGACGGCGCCCGGCCGCGTCCCGCCGTGACCTGCTGTGATGAGCGCGGCGGCCCTCCGGCGAGCGGACGGGCGGTGTGTGCTGCGACTGTGTGAGAGAGCTGTTGGTAGGATAATACAGGTCGGCCGCGCCGCCGCCGCACCGTCGTCGTCAGCCGGACGTTTCAAAGGAGTCGAGCGAGGCACTGTTGCTCTGGGAACGGACGCCGCATTGGCAGGACGCGTGTCCTGTCGTGCACGACGCCAGCTGACGCAGCACACGTGCACAATAGGTCAGAGCGTGGAGAAGCAAGATGGTGCACTCTTGCGTTGGATTACTGCTGGGGTTTCGATGGTGGTGCTGATATCGTGCAGCACGTATTCATACAGTCTTTAATAGTTACACACTGGGGGCCAGTATTCGCACCAAGTCTTTATGTTCACACCTAGTTCAGGCAGCCTTTACTGAAAAGCTTCGGAAACTCAGTAACATTATGCAATCGGTTTGTCATAAGACAAAACATTCAATGCATTCACTCACGATCGGAAGATTCCGTGTGAAGCCAAAAGAGATGTCGCCTTTCGTAACGGCCATGCCGCTAGAAAATGCGCATGAAAGAAACCAATGCCCAATATTCTCCGGAATTACGCTATCTTCTAGACGCAGGATGTCGGCGGGTATTGCTTAGAAACCCGTCCCACCCGGTCGAGCCCTCGCCGTCACGCACACCTGCGAGGGGGAGCGCGCGCGGCCACATGCGCCGTGCCCCCGCCCGTGCACCGCGGCCAGGCAGTGCAGTCGGCGACGGCGCCTTCGGTCACACAGAAATCCTCCTGCTGCCCCCACCTGCCGAGAGCGGTCGTCCTTAATCAACGGTGCTGTGACGTCGCGCTGGCTCTGATGGCCTAGAGAGAGATCACCCTTCACTGGACGGGCCCGGCTGCAGCGGACTGGACCGGACCGGACCGGACTGGCCGGCCGCTGTGGCACCTGCAGCGCGAAAACAGTCAGAGAACAGACACGCCTCCTGTCACCAGGCCAAGGAAGTCACATCTGCAGTGGGCTCGGAGATCGCTGGCATCAGGGGGTTTTGCTGCGCTGCATTTGTTGCACGCTGACCCGGTCGTTTACGCTGTTGTCGCAGCATGGCTGAGCCTTTTAATGTGAGGCGGAGAGCGAGTACAGAGCGAGGCCGCCGACATTAATTAGAGATGGATCGCATCTACCCAATGCTTGCTAAGCTGCCGGGGCTTTACTTCGGATTGAAAACGGGAAAACAGGAGTGCCACTTTCTAGAACCGGCTGGGGTATGACCCGTTAAGGTTGACGTAACTTACCCCGCGAACCTGCTTCCTCCCCAATTTCGGCCACTTTAAATTGCGTTTCCCAAATCAGATTTTTGTCTTCAAATTGTTGAAACATATTTCGTCAATCCTTAAGGCTTTTACTGCTTACGAATGATTTAGAATGGAATATAATTCAAACACAAAAACACTTGAGCTGTTCGATGCATTGTGATAAACGAAAAAAAGCTGTTCATAGCTCACCGAAAGTGGCTCGAGACCCAAAAACTTATGATGTATAATGGCGTATCCCGACATATACGGACGACGGCCTATGAAAGAGCAAAGCCACTGCTACGCTGTGAACTCCCACCTATATGCAAAATTAAAACTGGGCCTGCACAACATTATTAACAGACATAACTGGAAGGACGGAGTAGGTCAAGACTGATGACCTAATGGACCTTCGGAGCGGCCGTCTTACAAAATAGCGTGACCAGCACTTTTACACGAGTTGAAAGTTGACGTGAGCAAGAAAGGCCTCGAGTCTCGTTGTTGGTTGATGAGTTGGGAGTTTCCATGTTCAAAGCCTCCACCTGCGGCATACCAGGAGGTAGCGGTTAATCCATGACATCAGAAACGTCGGTATTATGAGGAAACGTGATGTTTCGAAGCTGTGCTTATGGTCACATTTGCTCGCAAAAGTGGATCGGCATCACCCCCAACATGTCTTTCACTCTGGAGCACGCCGCACAAAACGTGTCGGTTCCATTCCTCGACGCCCTTTTATGTCAGTCATGTGGAGGATGCATCGCCGAACTGTACTTTAGGTCGTCTCGCTTTGCAGTGTACTTTAGAATGTTTGGTTAGCTTAGCTGGTTAGAGCGCCTGCTTTCCGATTCACAGGCCTGCGGCGGGGTAGGTTCAAGCCGCTTCAGGCGTTCGCTATTTGTTTCCGACTGGGATAGTCTGCGACCGGGGGCAGCGGCCGCACTAACAGTCAAGTAACGCCAGAGGGCAGGATGGACTGAGCGGAGCACTACGGCATGTCGAGCCTTCGTCGCGACATCCTGCCGCAAATACAGAATCTTACGGTCAGCTCAGTGCTCACCAACCAAGCAGAGCTTGGCATATGCGTTCATCCCAGAACTTCATGCGGCTTAAAAGGCTCACACCAAATATTGGCAACTGTCTGGCCGCCCCATCACAATGTGTTACAATTACGCCCACCCCATGGCTATTAACGAAGCAGTCCTTGGAACACGAATGCAAAGAGTCGTATGTCTTCTGATCCCCATTCGTGTAAACGTAGGCGTACTTAAGCATCCCTTAGTTTCCATGAGAACGAAAGCACAGAGCACTGTGTAGGATGCTCCGATTGGGCCAGAAATTCTCGATTCAGCAATGCATCACGTTGGCAAAGAAGAAATAGTTTGTGGCTGCGTGGAACTACCGTTTATGCAAGGTGGCCCAGACAAACTTGACCCAAGTTCTATCAAACGACGGTCGGTGTATTAATTGCGTAATCGAGACCGCGGTGACGTTCGAACGACAATTAAATGACAAAACGTCATAACAGCAATGATAGCTACCAGTGATCTCACATTCGTCAGCCCATGACTCTCAAAAAGATGTCTCTTTGAAGTGCGACAGCAATAATCTTGTCAACACTTCCTTAAAGTACTACATCGCCACTGCTCTGAGACCCTTCTAGACCCACCCTGGGCGACTTCACGGGCTTGGTCAGGACTAGGATAGTCCTCGGCAGAAAGGTTTCGTTTCGTTTCGTTTCGTTTCGCTGGAATGCGCATCAGACTGAGTACGCCGTCCAGTGACTGCTCACTCGCCCGACCTGTCGCTCCGAGATTCCGTGCTGTGGGGTAACCCCACGAAAGCCCAAGGCCACCTCCAGACCTAAGATGGGCCGTATCACCGCGGACGATCGACCGGGCAATCAGCTGCCTGCGGCGGGCCCAGCTGTTGCGCATGCTGGACCACCAGTGGGTCATCTGAAGCACCTTTTGTGTCACGATATGGCGGTTGTCGAATCACTGATGGCTATCGCCGTCGCTGACAGCGTTTGACGGTGGTTTGCCATTCAACCGGCAGTAGAACACCGCCAGCCACGACTGTGCGACAACCACAGTTGCCGCTGTTGAGGGAAACATGGTTTAGCTTTTATGTGGGCCCCCCTGTTCCTGCACCAGCATTACCATGCACTAACCCGATCGTACAATTATGTGTCAACGGCGAGAGGCTGCGGCGAGACTTTAACGTACCGTAGTGCTCCGCTCAGTCCGTCCTGCCCTCTGGCGCTACCCGACTGTTGGCGCGGCCGCTGCCACCGATCGCAGACTGTTCCATTCGGAAACAAATAACGGGCGCCTTAAATGGTTTGAACCTACCCCGCCACAGGCCTGTGAGTCGGGAAGCAGGCGCTCTAACTACCTGAGCTGACCGGGCATAATTAAGTCGGCTGCGGGACGAGATGATTCAAAGTACAGCTCGGCGGTGTACCTTCCATATGACTGTGTTCCAGAGTGAATAAAAATGTTGGGATGATGTTGATCGACGTTTGTGAACAAATGTGACGACTAGCACAGCTTCCGAGCGTCGAGTTTGCTCAGTATACCCAATCTTTCTGATAACGTCGCCTAACAATGCCTCCTGGTATACTGAAGGTCAATTTTCAACTTGAGGACTCCCAACCCATCACTCTACAGCAGCAAAACTGAGGCCTCCTTCCTGATGTCAATTCCAATATACATCAAAGCGTTGGTCACGCTATTTGGTAAGACGGGCGCTCTGGAGACCCATTCGGTCACCAGTCTTGACTTCTTCTATCGTTCCAGTTGCCGACATGTCTGTTGTGTGCCTGTTATGGACATGCCAAAGTCGTGCGAGCTCAGTTATAATTACGCATATAGACAGAACCAAGTGGTATTCTCGAAATAAGCCTCCCATGCATGGAAAGAGTTGGACATTGCAAAAGCGATTGGCTGGCGAGAGCAGAATCGGCGAAGCCAGCCATCAGCCCTCTGGCCAACTCAGGTGGTGAGGCCAGCCATAAGCCCAGCCCTCATGAATTCCCTCGAGCACTGGCGCTCAGGTCGGCACCAGGTCAGTGAATGGCGAGTTAAAAAGAACAGCATGTACGCTCCGCAGCTGTTTGCGCGGCACATACGGAAGGACTAGCCTCTGGAGTCTTTGAACTCGTACCTAACTCCCAAAAATGGGTGTTCACAGTGGGCCATGTAGTGGCCCGAATGAGTCAGGACGGGATCGCGTGTCACGCCGTACAGGTCGTAAATCCAGTCTCCCATTGTCTTCCATAGGGCCTTGTCCATGCGTGTCACAATACGACATTCCGCATCAAAAATTTCGCTGCTTTAAGTCTGAGAACGCACATTAAGTGGCCAAAATCCGAGAAAAAAACGGGTTTTGTGAGCGGAAGAGGTTAGGTGAGCCCCATCAGTTCAGGCTCTCCCAACCGATTTCAGAAAGCGACACCCTTGATCATGCACATGCAAGCCTCACCGCGACTGAAACGCAACAGCCGGCGGGTAACGACTGCACTTACTGACGAAGTGAGCTTCTGCTCAAGCCCCATAGCAGTGTCTTCTATATACTTTACCCAAGTTATATATACCCAGGTGACAGAAGCGTGGCGAATAAATCTTGGTACAGCCTGCCGTGTTATATAGCATCAAGTCTCAGCAAACTAGCCACAGGGAAAAATAAGTATGGACATGAGTGCAACAACGGACGGTGGCGCCGTGGAAAAGGAGAGGGCAGAGACATTCAGACGGACAATGGACAAGAACCTGAGCTATGCTCGCCTACAAGTAGACGAAGATCAGTGATCGGAGTGTGAGGACATTCCCAGCTGTG